AAGCCAGTGACTCTCTGTTCTGGCACCTGAAACAATCCAGACTAAAACTGGTGTTGCGTAAACAGGGCATACAATGGCTTTCTCTAGACAAAACTATTGCTTCCACAAGCTACTGATGACCTTTTAGACTAACTTAATCTAGAGTGTTAGAGTGGCTCGTCGGTAACTTGTGGGAAGAAATGTGCCCAGAGTTGGTCTATTGTGTATCCTCTGTGTGTTCAGTTCTGTAAGTAATGTATAGACTAGATCAAATAGTGAAGTAAAATTTAGACTCAAATTAGGTACTACTGGTTGGAATGTACACAAATTGCAAACAAAGGAGATTAAGGAATGAAGAGGGAATCAAAAATTCCTGCTAAGTGGTACAAAGTTTATGCTTATATTTCTGCCGACATGCTTGTATTTTATAGCCTGCTAGCAAGGCATGGGCTAAAACAAATTGTATTGCAAATATGCAGTTAGCAAATAACTTTGCTGATTTCACTATCTGTTAGAGTAGTAAAAAAAAAAAAAAAAAAAAGAAAAAGAAAAAAAAAGGCGCTTAACTGGGAAAAGCTCCCATGTTAATATTTCAGTATTGTGACATCTCTACTTGCAAGGTATGAGTGAAAGATTAGTCACAGATTTGTAGAAATGTCTCTTTTGTTTAATCTGGCTTGTATGTAGTTGCTTTTATGCTAGTTTGTATGATGTCAGCTAAACCCTTTTTCTTTTCCTTCCTTCCTTTCTTTTTTTTTTAAACAAACTTCTTAATCTCTGCTGCTATAGTGTTCTATCATACCACAGAGTATTTTATATTCATGTTAGTGACTACTCTATACCCCAAATGGGTAGCTGGTCAGAAATCACATTGGTCACGTAATTCTGACACACTCAAATTCACATGAGAAAAAGTTCATCAGTAAGTGGAAAACCAGGGTGCTAATAAGAGATAATTTTTGCTCTTTTTTCTTTCCTGGACATAGTTCTGTTGGGGTATAAAGTATTAGATATTTGTAATTTTACTGTCAAACTAATGGACATAACTTTTAGAACATTCACAGCTAAGATCTCTGTACTTGTTTTTCAACTAATTTTAAATGTACTGTATCTTTTATTACATGTTCTCCTAGATTGTTTTTGCTAGTAATTCTAACAAAGCTTCTTCCTTTTTGGCTTGGACTAATGCTTGTATGGAACTGCAGTACTGTGACTAAACATGGAGCTCAATGCTGCTATTGCTTACAACTGCTTAAACTTTGTAGTTTGGACTTTATTTTTTTCTGTAATAACTTATTAAATATAGTTGTATGAAGTACTGATATTTGTCATCCTTTGCACATGCTAAGGAAATCTTGGGATATGCATTATGGGAATGTATACCAGATACAAAACCCCCAAATCTTGTACTGGAGAACTGTTTTCACTAGATAAGGTTAAGCAGAGAAACAACTTACACGCACACAAACTGTCTTTTCTAGTTATTTTATAATGCAATATATGATCCACTTATGTTTTCTCTCTAAAATGGAAAAGCCACACTTGCTAAGTTATTTATTATGCTAAGCTGAAGGTAAATACAAAAATACATATGGTGGAAATATTTCTGAGAATGTAGTTTTCCCCACGAAATGTAGCATCAAGAGCCATGAGAATACAAGTGTTGAATTATTTTCTCTGAGCTTAAGAAAAATTGCTGGCAAAGATACTGCACTCCTTTATTAGAAGTTTAAAAATGTTTGCAGGCTAGGGATTAGAATGATCAGTAAAAAAAAAAAAATAATTAAAAATCGCCGCAACAGTAGTTTATAATGACTTATTTTTTAAGAATAGGAGACAAAGTTCAGTGATACAGCTGTGTGGAACTGCACAGAATATTTCTTTGAAAAAAATATGAATTCTGCTATGTCAGGGCAAGTGAAGACCACAAGAATGGTGCATGGTCTATGTCACTGCTTTCTTTCAATGTCTACATAAATGCAGCTCAAGAACCCTGTTGGAACTATAAATACTAGAAATTACAGGCTGACTTCATGTATGTGTTCCACTTGAACAGAAACTGAGTAGGATTACAGCAGAAATTAAATGCCCTTTGGAAACTATGAAAAGCTGATGAGGTTACCTGCGCTAAGTATTGTGAAAGCTCCTTAGTGTGCAGAGCCCTGTGGCTTTTGTTACTCTAATTTATCCTAATGTTACCTGGTGCAATATCTCATACATGAACTTGATTTTGAACTGGTAGTGAATAATTATAACTTTCAGGAGAATGATCTACTGGCTACTCTTCCAGGAGAAGTGCTTTTACAAGACAGTGATCTGTAATATAAATTCCTGTAGTGAATGAACGGATGAGAAGTTGTAGGCTTCTCATTACTTCAGAGAAGGGAGTTCTTATGAACACCTTCCAATTAATGAGTATTAAGTTCCTAATTGTAGCCTTTCACTGTACGATGTTCCAAGTCCATCCGGACAAAAATCAGTCTGGGTTTACCCCCTCTTCAGTTACAGAGAACAATTGTTCCTGTGGACCTTCTAATCCCCAATCCTTCCCTTACTGATAAAGTAAGCCTTACCTTTTGCAAGGTACACTGAAAATGACAATCTCCCTTCTCCAGCTGATAAAAGCATTTAACTCAGACTTTACTTGCATTAAAGGTTGCAGTAACCCAATTTAAACCAATGCACTTAAGTACGAAGGGCTGCATGGCCTTTTTTTGCCTCTGGTTTGTATGTGTTATTTTGGCAAACTTAAACTGAACTAAAATAGCTACCTGTATGACTCTTGAAGCTTTGTATTAAGCTTATTTAGGCATGCTTCTAAGCTAAGCATTTTTGCATTCAAGGCACCAAAGCAACATGTCCCTCCACACAGACCTGCAGAAAAAGCCAGAGCTTAGCTCTTAAAAGCCATAATCTGCTTTCCTCTGTTTAGCAAAAGATAAACAACAGGAGCACACGGGGAGAATTGCTACATTCTCTCCTAGGGATGAGCCAAGGAATGAGTTTTAAAACACACAACCTATGCAACCTGCTTTCATAGAAGTATTAAGAGGTATTTGAAAAGCCCTATGCCACACAATTCTATTATGAACACATGACAAAGTTGCACGCACCAGCTGCACACGCAGATGATGGCTGTTCAAATGAATTTTCTCTCTCTCCCCAGGGGCAAGCAAGTTTTTGCAGTTTATCTTGAGGTAACAAACTGTACCTACAACAGTTAGAGAAGGAAACATGATAAAGGTCCCCAAATATCCCCCTTTTCCTGTTTTTGAAGGAGAAATAAACCATAAGCAAGTATGAAGTCATATGGCAGGCCCTTGGCAGTGGTTAGGACAGAATTCCTGCTGTTTTCCCCAGAGCACAGTAACTTCTCAATGTGTCTGTGCCTACCATTTATTGAGTGCCATGGTAGGCACCTGGGGCTAAATCAGTAAGATCAAGTATCCATTTACTACTTCTGGGAGCTTGAGTGATATTTATTTGCTACCAGCTTCCTAAAATCCCCTTCGAGCTGCTGCCTGGCATTGCTTAGACCTGTGTTTTTGTGAACAGAAATGTATAAAACTGCTTTTGTCCTAATACTTCTCAGTTGTTCAATAACCTAAGATCTACTTAGATTCTCAGGGTATTCCCCTGTAGTTTTTTTCACCTGCAGGCCTAAACACATAAAGCACTTGCGAACATATTTATCAGCCCATGTTTCACATACAGGAGAACAGTGTATCTCTCCTTCTCTATCCAGTAGCCTGAGCGGTCAAAACACTTGGAGATATTTTTATTTTTTGCTATTTTCTTTTTCACAATTTCCTGCACTCTAGAGCAAGAAGTTAACCTTTTTGTTCATGGTTGTAGCAACTACTCTTAACTATTTGATGACACATACTTTGATCACTACCAAGTGAAGAAAAATGGTCTCTGGAACAGCATAAACATCACCACTAAGGTAAATAATCAAAATGGTTTTTAATGAAGTTACATGTAACTACATCGTGCCCTCTGATACACCTTCTTGACTTGCTTGCCAGCTTCCACATGTACCCATTGAAATAAAAGTCTGAAAGAGAGAGAGGGTTGATACAATTTGTATGCAAAATAATTCTGCAAAATACTGCCAAAAACCATGGCAAAGATACAATTCATGATCTCATCTCAGCTGGTCTCCAAGATCTTTGCTTTCAAAGTTACAAAAAGGCCTCTAATCTCATTGTCAGACTACAGAGCATGGGCAGTGTCAAATAACAAACGTGAAATTCTAAGAGATGGACAAAATCTTGTTCATGACATACCTAATTCCTCCAGCTGTGCCTGGTGCATATTGTTGTAGTCAGAGCCCACATCACAGACTCACAGCATACACACATGTGCCAGAAATGTCCTGTTGAGCATTCTGCCTCTGCCTTTCTTACTTTGGACTAGACCTGCATGCTGTCACTTGTAAATTGTCACCAGTTTATGAATGAGTGACAAGCAATGGTAATATTTCTTTACTCCTCTCAAAGAGCACCAAAATAATACTGGGATGTTAATAAGATGATGTTGCATAATGAGGAGGATTCTACCTAAAGAGATTATCTGTAGGGAGTAAAGTTCAGTGTAGTTACAACTTACTCTAGAAGGTAATTAGATTCCCGGTTAAAAGACGTGACACATATTCTGTTTTGTGGGTGACTGGCTGTTGGATTCTTTTCCCCATTATCACTACCTGTTGTAGAATTTGTCACAGCTCAGAGCTGGACAGTTTTACTTCTTACAGTCACATCCCTTTATCTACAACCATGAACGAAGAAAACCAAAAGCATTTCCCCCCTTAAGATTTGCTACAAATATTAAAAATGTAAATACATTTTGACAGCACCAACCAACATTTTACGTCTGTATAACAAGCTCATTATATGCTGAACACATTAATGTGGAATCACTTTCTAACAAAAATGGAATGCAATATCAAAGCCCAAAAGAATAAATAAAATATAAGGGAATAGAATATTGTTCTAACTAATTTGAAAACAGAGTTCTACCTTACGGCTGTCAGTGAGACTCCACCAGAAAATGTTTCAACTTTTGTGTCGTTCTCATCCGCTCCAGCTTTAGACAAACACTAATGTTACTCTGTTACTTTACAGCTATCTAACTAAACAGGTTCTAGCCTAGGAAATGCCTGCTCATGGCTTTTTAACTTACTTAATTGAACCTAATGACCTGCAAGTGTGAGCTAGCAAGGGTCAGGTGAGAAGGAATGGAGAAAGGTTAAGCAGTCCAATTTATCTCCATTTTAATTAATGTTTTTTCTAGAAAAATTTCAGTCACTCTGACAGAAATAAGCAGAATTTGATACTCATTATATCAGGAGCTCAGAAATAGGACAGAAACCAGAACCAAGGGCTCCTCCCTCCCAACGGGGTGTCCAAGCCTTTTAATTAGTAAGTCATTGCTATGCTCCCACCCTCTTAGTCCAGAGAATTCATTTTATATAGAAGTGAAATAACAGAAAGCAAAAGCCCTCCTCCAGTCACAGGCAGCATAACCCAAGGTATCGCTACTGTCATGAGCGTGAAATGCTCTCTGTGATAACACATCCTGAAAAGCAACTAAACGAGCCAATGCTAAAGCACCCCGAGTATTTCTGCATCACATTATTTACTTACAGGTGCCTAACTCAAGGACATGGATTATGCTCTGGCCACCACAAACAAAACACTTAGACAGAGCGATGCTCAAATTCAACAACATCGACATAACTTTGTGGATTCAGCTTTGGTTTTCCTTTCCTCAGTTGAGATTTTTTATATGCTGAAATGTTTACACTAGGTGCTTAGGTTGTTCTAGTCAAAGATTCCAAGTATTGACACTAGAGCATAGCAGAAAACATATACTCCAGCAAGCACTGAAAAAAAGACCTGCCACAGAGAGGAAAAGGACATTAAGTTCTTGAAGTGCTGTAGAATTCTATGAAGCAAAATATAAACCAAGCAATAATGCAGCCACCCCACCCCAATCCTAAAAAGCACAGAAAAGCAAATCCAGAGATAGAATGTTTTAGCACTTTTCTGTAAAGAGAGTTTAGAGGCAGAGAAGTACCATGTAATGAAGGCCATGTGATGAAAGCACTACGCTCAGAGCACACAGGATATAAACATGAGAATCTGTAATGGTGTCTTGCTAATGTTTTATTCTGGAAAAATCCGTAAGATACCAGGAAACTTATTGCTAGAATTCCTTCAGTAATACTGCTTCAATCACTGCCCTGAAAAAAGTTTAGTATAGACTATATAGCCAGAAGGCCAGAAAAAACCTGGTCATGAGGAGAGATGACTTACTGAGTGTGGAAATTTCTACATGATTATATAATCCAGTAACTCCTGTAGTTAACTCACTGCTGTGTAATGGCTGCTGACAGCTAATCCTCAGTGAAGCCAGGGGTTGTATGAGACAAAGGAAAACAAATGCTAAAATATGTGATATCCTCCACATTTGTCAGACTATTCACACACAACGTATTTGAAAAAAAACCCTAAATCTTAAATTTACATCCATCCTATAAGTCTGAGCTCCACTCAGCAGAGCTTATAGAGTGTACAGTAAGTGTATAATGTAAGAGGAAAAGCAGCAAAGTGTGGGGGAGGATGAATCTCTTCTGCAGTTTAGCTTTGTATTAGCACAGTGTCTCAAACGTGCAAAAGGACTGTTGATACAAAACATAGTTCAGTGTGCCTTTCACAGAGCAACTGCAGCCCTGTACTGAAGATGCCTGCCACTGCTCTAAAGTAGGACAACAACATCTGTTTGGAAAATGATGTTAAGGAACATAATTTCTGTCTTGTGTTTGATTTCTTATTTCTGAATGACATGTGAGGGCAAATAGGTAACACTGGCCTTTCCACTGAGGAGTGATGCCAAAATAGGACAACACTACGTGACATTCTCCTTTTGGTCTTTCAAGTACCATTCAAACTCACACTCTCCTAACCTAGTTTGAGTAGAATTTAAAATTATATTTATAGCAGCTTTTCCTCTCTGGAAAGTGCCTTCACTTGCAGAAAGGATGTTCTCTGGTAATAAAGTTGTGTATTATAAACTGCAGTATTGCCTCTGAGCAAAACAGTTTGGGTTAAACCTGCCTGCTTTTGATCCCAATTCCCTAATTATTATGGATCAACTTCTTCACTTGTGTTTCCATCAAGTGTGAAGAGTTCATGGGGATTGGTTGTATCAGTTCTTTTCACAGAGGAATTAAGCTGCATTCAAAATGCTGCAGGAGGTAACGTGGAGTCAGCAAGTAGCAGTGCCCTTCTATCAGACAGTCCTCTTAAATCATGCTCTGAAGGAGGGATGTAACAGAAATAGCATTAGCCTGAAGTGAACACTTCATATCAAATACTCAAACTGAATCTTTGCCCAATTCCCGAGCCAATTCTAAATACACTATCATATTAGAAATTCGGTTGTCATCTGTTTTGTGATTCTAGCAGAAATAGGACTGTGAGAACAACTCATTGGCCCCAGGAAATGGAGTTAGTGTGCTGTGGAGTCACTCAGCTGCAATATGCAAGTTCTGAAAACTTGATTTTCTCAGCTTCCTAAAGCTCAAGCTGTACAGCTGAGCCAGAACCCATGTGACTGTGAGTCTGCCCAGCTCCTGCTAAAATGAGTTCTCCCTGGCTATCTCTAGCACACATACTGTTCCCACAGACTGAGCCTGTCATCACCAGCTGTGCCACCTGCTTGGACTCCTGGGGCCCTTCTGCAACTCCTATTACCGAGCCATTTACTTGTAATAGCCTCATCTTGGCAGTGGGACAAGGCAGTCAGCAAAGATGCTGCTTCTCTCTGGATCTGAAGAACATGATATCCCTTCTGAGGCTTTTGAAGGTGCTGATACCACCTCTCTGTCAGTTCCACCTCTCCCCACCAACACAGCCCCAAACATGCTGTAGACCCTTATACATACCTCTCCTTAGATCATCCTCACTCTTAGTTATGAGCAGAAGCTTGAACTGCACAGCTGAGGAAAGGAGAGAGCAATACCACACTGTGCTGTCTGATGTAACCCACAGAGTTATAAGTTCACGTTTATTCTATAGAAGCCAGGAAAACCTGTCATAAACGGAACCCCACTTCTTGCTGTTTTGCTTGGAGATACTTGGGCTGCACCTGGGAACAGCTGTGGGTTTTCTGACAGAGAAGAGATTAGCTACAGCTGAGAGAGCTCCCCAGCTACTTGTAGCTTTCCCAGGTGCTTGGAGGAAGAGCTGAAGATATGGTGGGAGGGTGGTGTCCAAGGTGCTCATTTATCCAGACCACTTCTGATGTGAAGCTGCCTTCTGTAGTTACCGACAACTGAAAGGCCCAGGCAGTACTGCAGGAGCTTAGGAATTTCCTAAACCCATGATCCTTGTAATTCCGTGTCCCATTTCAGAGAGTTGACAGTCTCAAATGCGTAGGCAGGAGGCATAGGAAATCTTATTTTGGCAACTGTGGAACAACTTTCTCCGTAGGAGAATGGTGCTGGAATACATCTGAAGTTCCAGGAGATGAAAAATTGTTTGATGTGTGTGTACAGCAGTGATCTATGATCTGGAAAACCTAGCACTGACCAAGATTCTTCTTATAAAAAGGGCTTGTGTCCCAAAACCTCGATGGAATAGGCAATGACGATTTTGAAAACAGGAAAGAGTTAAATATATATTTAATTATATAATAAGTAAATTTACGTTATACAGTTGGCTGTAAAAAGCACAGCTTCACAGGAAAAGCTGCTTTTGCCATTGTCCCATTTTGACCTGGGCCAGGTTGGATGGTCTGCTCTTCAAGGGAAGGATGTGTTTAAAAAGGAAGAGAAAGACCTGCACTGTAAGGCAGTACTGTCTCCCTATTATAGGTTCATTCTTCCACAGCCAAGGTGGAAGTGGCAGATGGTCTGCAGACATTTCCTAGTACAAGTGAATACAGGAAAAAAAGATACAACACATCACTGCCCAGAGAAAAGAGAAACTCCCTCACTCGTATAGGTTATGGTGCAGTAAAGTGAAGGATCCATTTTTTTAAAAAAATCAGGATAAAGAATAGCAGTTTTAAGTACATTTCTCTTACCTACATATGTCCCAAACACTCCTTCTCCTCCCTCAAGATTAATCTGCTATATCTTCTCCACACATCCCTGAACAATATTTATCTCATGTATAGCATGGAGCTGATGTAGCTTCATGTTCTTGTTCAAAGAAGCTTACACATTTCTTTCCCAAACCTGCTGCAAAAGCAATTCCATTTCTAATATGTCTTTTGGTTCTTATTCTCTAATGCCCTTTTCAGGCTCTGCAAAACTTCTAAACTTCGTGGAACAAGCACCCAACTTTGTAAAATTTCGTGTAAAATTTTTGCCAGTTGGGTAGGTTGAGCTTTTATGCAACCAAGCTAACAAGTCCCAGCTGTAGGAATGCATATTGCTTGGCCTCTCAGAGTAAACCATCACGTGTTTATTCCCATCAAGTTATCTGTCCAATGCATAAATGATAGACCTTCTCAGGATGGTAGTTAAAGCAGATTTGCTGTCTGTGCTGACAGAGCAAAGCAGGCTACCACTTTTCTACCACAAGAGAGTAAAGCAGAGACCTTGTTAAATTTGGAGGAAGACTCCTGGGAGCCAACATCCGAACAGCTATAGGAGCCAGAAATTCCCCAGTCAGCAATGCACTTCTAAACACAAGCCTGACTGACTGGAATAACTTATGTGCTTAAAATTGCATGCACACTGAAGTAATTGCCAAACTGGGGCCAGCAGCTATATCTGGCATGGTGAGCCGAAACATTCCCGACCCCAGTATGTACCAATGTTTCTGCTGATGAACCTGCACAAAGACCTGTGCCATTAATATGTAACTGAAGCCCTTGACTGGGGGGCTACGAAGGACCTACTGCTAAACATTAAACTAGACATTTGTCCACCTGGACAAAGATCATGTGGGTGCATGTGCAGCACATCAAAGCCTGATGTAGCTGGTAAAGACAAATGAGCTGGCTGGCAATCCTTTCAGATTTTCTGGACAGCTGTGTGAGTGCTTTCAGAACATACTCTTATGACACCCAGGACAAGCAGATTCCAAATTCAATTCCTGAATGAGGACATGAACCTCAGACTGAAGGGAATTCCTCTGGTTTTTTATCTGTTGAGCTTTTCATCTGCGTTTGCTTCCAGCCGATGTAATGACACCTCATCAAAATGATTTCTAAGAATATCATAGCATTTCTCAGAGTGCCTGCCGCATAATTCAGGGCTAAGCACCACAGCAAGGGAATTAGCCCTTCATTTCCATTCATGGCCCTTAGAAGAAAGAGTTAATTTCAGAAAAAAATCTAATATCTGCCCC